TCCTTTTTTTTTCCCAATATACAAAGTCTTCAAAACCTGGTGTGTAATTTGCCCTGCTAAGGCATCTCAGTCAGGACCAGTCATGTTCAGGGGCCCTGCAGCCATAAGCAGCCAGTGGCTCTTGTGTGGACAGCATGTTTCCAGAATTTCCATAAGCCAGGAGTGGGGCAGTGGCACCTTGGTGGGGAGTGGGGAGAGCAGCAGGGAGACAGGACTCGAGCCAGCACTTACACAGCCATAAGTGGTTTTTACTGAGGTGGTGTGGATTGAGAAGCTGTTATAGAACAGCTGTGTGCTGTGTCTGTGTGCCCAGCGCCCAGTGAGGACAAACTAGCAGAGAAATGTTTACTGCAGGCCAAGCAAGGAGAATGGGTGGCTTGCACTCAGAGACCCTAAATTCCCCAGTGGTTTTGAGGTTGGGTCCGGGGAGAAATTTTTATAGGCAAAATGTGAGATGAGAGCTATAGGGTATGTGACTTTCATTTGACAGCTGAAGTAACCATCCTCCACCTGGGTGGGGGCCTTAGTTTCTGCAGAAGAATTCAGAGGTATTGTTATATACATTTCTTGAGGAGGAACCAAGACCCTGCCCCAAGGCTGGACTATTGTTTCTTGACGGCTCCTCCCATGTGTCTGTGTCCCCTCCCTTCCCCGATTAGCAACTGTTTGGACCTGCCCTGGAACTCGGGGAAGGTCAAGGAAGCTGAATGAAGCCTATTTCCTACACACAAGGAAGGAGAGGGGAGGACCCCAAAGGGTCCCACTCAGTTCCAAGGCCCCCCAGGAAAGGTGCCGGGTTGGACCCCGCTGTGGGACTCCTCCTACAGAACTGATGTCCAGAGCTGCCAGGTTTGTGGGTCTGATCTTAAGTCCCCCTGGAAAGCAAGCATCTATTTCAACTGGTTTTTTAAAAAAGAAACATATTCACTTACAAGAAAAAAAACTTATTGATGATAACTTACGGGAAGGGCGACCCCATTCTAGGGCCCGAGAGTGGGCTCTTGTCTAACTCTCAGAAATGAATTGTCCGAGGAGACACACATGCTGACAAAGCAAGAGCCTTTGCTGGGAAGAGGTGCCCATGGAGAGAGCAGCAGGGTGACAGAGCCCAGGAGAAGTGCCCTGCCCTGTGGCTTGTGATCTCAGGGTTTATGGTAATGGGCTCAGTTCCGGGGTGTCTCTGGCCAGTCATTGTGACTCAGGGTCCTTCCTGGTGGTGCACGCAGCCAAGATGGATTCCAGCAAGGACTCTGGGAGATTGGTAGGACACATGGACTGGTGTCTCCTCTCCCCTTTTGACCTTTCCTGAATTCTTCCAGATGGTGGTGGCTTGTTAGTTACACATTCCTTACCAGGACCTCCTGTTCTAAGATAACTCATGTAAGTGGTGACTATCGTGTCTGGCCAGGGTGGGCAGTTTTGGTCAGCGGTTCCCGTAACATAACCATGCATTTTTGTAGCATGAATGAATGAATGAATGAGTGAAAAACTTCAATATGAAGACCAGAAAGCACCTGTGCCAATGAGGGACAGTAGGCATCAGACCTACATCTAATGTCAGGGGCTGGGCAGCGAGACTGGAATCTCCACGTTGAGACGAGGAAGTGTGTATGTGGGCAGCCAGGCTGCAGGCGCATTCTGGCCTGTCCCTTCTTAGCTGTGGATCCCATGACAGTCCCAGGTTCTCCCTCACACTGCCCATCAGTCCACCCAGAAGAGCGCCTTACCTTTGCTCTCCATGGCCTTTCATTCATTCAGTCACTTGCTCATTCATTCATTTCTTGATCAAAAATATATACACTCTGAACCCTGGAAGCAGTGCCCAGTGAAGTAAGCCAAAGTCCAGCCGTCTGAGTGTCCAGTTCAGGGGAATCTAGGGAGGCAGAAAGTTGACTGATGGCTGCTTAGGTCTGAGCAATGGCGGAAGGGGGGATGGGATGGGGGATAGGAAGGTGAGAGCTGAAGGGAAGACGTTTCTTAAAAAATATATATATATATATATATTTTTTATTTATTTATTTGGCTGTACCAGGTCTTAGTTGTGGCATGTGGGATTGTGTTCCCTGACCAGGGATTGAACTTGGGCCCCCTGCACTGGAAGCGTGGAGTCTGAGCCACTGGACCACCAGGGAAGTCCTGAGAGGTTTTTTGGGGTTTTTTTTTTTTTTTTTGGTGAGGAGCATGTTCTAAAAATTGATTCTGGTAAAGTCTGCACAGCTGTGTAAATATGCTAAAAACCATGGAATTGTACAGATTACTTGGATGGATTGTATTGTATGTGAATTCTATCTCAACAGCCTACTTAAAATATATATACATATATATTGATTGATTGATTGATTGATTGATTGAGTACCTACCGTGTGCCAGGTAAACTAGGGGCTCAGGAGTGGATAAACGTGAACACAGTCCACCACCACATAGTCTGACCACGAGGAGGCAGCCACTAGACAAATCATCCCAGAACTGTTTTCCACAAGGGCAGTTTATAGACCTAAACGGAGGTGCAGGCTGGAGTGAGCACCTCCCAGGACCGGGCAGCACAGAGCTGACCCAGAGGAGCTGGAAATGACCAGCCCTGCTGGGAGACAGGGAGGGGGGAACAGCCTTCCAGACGAAGGGAGGCCGAGGGCGGAGGCGCCGAGGCAGCCCCTGCACTTGGTAGGATGGCTGAGGAGGAGGAAGTATGTGGGCAGGAGACAGGCCAGGCCCCTGAGGTCTTTGCCCTCCTGCGTGGGAAGCGCTGGGGGCTGCGGCTGGGCAGTGGGGGGACGTGGGGTACGAGATCCTTTCGGAGGACAGAATCTCCGGGCTTTACTGTGTAATGGACCGAGGGCCCCAGACGCGGTGGAGGCAGGAGGGGCCGGCACCTCACCTCCCACATTGTATTAAGATGTGCTTTCTCCCAGGGAGGGGGGCTTCCTGTTCATGAAACAGGAAGTAAGGTCTGTTTAGCTAGCAGCCCGCTGGGAGCAGACTGAGGACAGAGGGGCCCGAGGAAGCGGGGATCGGGCAGGCACCCGCAGGTGAGGCCTGGCCGGCTCGGGTCACACCTGCGTGCCTCTGGTGGCCAGGATGAGCGAGGACAGGGCGGCCGCTCCAAAGCCCCTGGGCCTGGGGCTGCTGCCGAACCAGGCTCTGGGGGCGGGAGGCAGCGTTCCCGGACTCCAGGCCCGTGACGTCAGTGTTGCCATGGAGACCCCTGCTTCCATCAGCACGTGTGGCAGCTGCCGAGACCCCTGGGCAGGGAAGGCTCGTGGGGTGGAGGGAAGCAGAAAAGAGCAGGACCCCACAGGCCTGCAGTCCTGCCCCTGAGCAGGGCCCCTGAGAGGGCAGGGGTGCCAGTCCTGGAGGGCACCCTCCAGCTCTCTTATCCGGCCGGCGGCCAGGCCCCCCGACACGCTCCTTTCCTGCAGTCTGAGAGATGCCTCGGCACGAAGCAGCTCAGGCTGTGGCCCTTCCCCACTGCAGCAGCCAAGGAAGGTGGGGGCGGGGGGCGGTGACTGTGCTCTCTCTACTGACCCCTCCCACCCCCACACTCCCAGCTGCTTTGTTGGGTTTCAGATGCCTCTTCATTCAATCATTTCCTGAGCCCTCCACGGGTCAGATGCTCTGTGAGCGCCTCTGATCCCAGCGAGGGATGCTGGCCTGCTGCTCATGGGTTCAGCGTACCTAAGAAATGGTGTTTCCTTTGTCTCTAAACCTTGTTCTCTGAAATCTTTCTTTGCAGTTTCTAAAAGACACCTTCAGTGGCAAAATGCCCAGGCTAGCTGAGCACTTCAGCCTCCCATTCAACTTCCCGTTCATTGCACACTCTTCTGGTTTCTGAGCCCCTGGCTCCTCCCTGGGTGGGGTGAAGGTGAACAGGGACCATTGTCCGTGTCCTTGCTGTTTCTCTGAGTGGCCACGGGGCTGTTGAGTGAAAAAAAAACACCTAAAAGCTGAGAATTATGTTTGATTTGAGGACATTACTGAGAACTAGAGCCCATGCAGGCAGCCTCTCATTGCTCTGAGGGACTGTTCCAGAGAAACGAGGGAGAAGCCAGGACTTAAAGGAGTTTTTGCTGGGAAAAGTAGAAAGACTACAGAAGGTTATTGCTAACCACAAAAGCAAACATCTCAAGTTAATGATTTTAGTGTCTTTCTATGTATGGGGAAGTGTGAGTGTCTAGGCTCATTGGAATAATTCCTTTGATAGGCATCTTAGCTGTCTTGGGGCCTCCCAGATGCCGTTAGTAGTAAAGAGCCCACCTGCCAATGCAGGAGAGGTGAGAAACGGGTTTGGTCCCTGGCTCGGGAAGATGTGCTGGAGGAGGGTGTGGCAACCCACTCCAGTGTTCTTGCCTGGAGACTCCCCATGGACAGAGGAGCCTGGCAGGCTACAGTGCATAGGGTCGCAAAGAGTCAAACACCACTGAATCGACTTTGCAGGCACTTAGCTAGCTAGGGCCAGTATCCTGTGTTTTCCCATGCTGAATCCCCTCGGGGTGTACCATTGATTGGCTGCAGTGGTTCATGGCCTGATGACTGGCAACATTCCCTGCTTCTCAGAATGGCAGGCACATTCTTTGTTTACTGAAATGGCAGGTACCCTGTTTCTGTCACTGGGGTAGCCCAAATGTGTGCTTTTGTGGGACCTGCGTGGGTGTGGGCAGAGTTGAGGGTTCCCACGGCCTGCTCCCTGCGGCCCGTCTCCTACCTTTCACCCCCCCTTGGGGCTGGGGGCAGAGGTCTCCTCACCCTGGGGCCAACAAGCCTTTGGGATGGAATGATCCCGGGAAAGTGTCTCGGGCCCTGCTGGCTTCCTGGTGCCCATGGGACTCCCAGACCCTCACGTGTCCCTGACCTGTTGTGGTCACCTCCTACATCCTGGCACCTCTCGCCAGCTCTTCTTTCCTGTGGGAAGGGAGGGGTGGTTCTCAGCAGGAGGAAATGAGGCTGCCAGGATCATCTGGGCAAGACCCTCCCCACGAGTGGGCCAGCCGTCTCGGAGCCAGCGTATGTTCCTGGGAGGTGCAGGCTTGTCCGACAGGACCAGGTACCAGCCATGTATGATCCGAGAGTCGTGTTTCTCGGTAAGTCCTCTGGCCCATCTCAGGCCTTAACACAGAGGACATATTTAGAAATCGTTTTTTCATTCACTTGACATGAGTCTCCTCTGTGCTAGGCTCCGTATTCTAGGATGGATGGATGTATGGGTGGGTGTGTGCGTGAATAAATGAATGAATAGGTAGGTAGATCACGGATAGACAGGTGGAAAAATGAATGGACAGTTGGGGGAGTGGATGGGTTGGTAAATGGAAGCTGTGCACAGGATAGGGAGTTGGTTCAGTGACTCCTGATTGGGTGTGTTTACTATCTGTCGTGCAACAAATTATTCCAAAGTTTATTGGCTTAAAACAGACACTGTCTTACCACTTTTGTGGGATTGGAATTCGGAAATAACTTAACTGGGTAGTTCTGACTCAGGATTGCTCCTGTGGTTGCAACCAGAGTGTCTGATGGGACTTGACTGGGACTGCAGCATCTGCTTATTTATTTTCTTTTGTCTTTTTTTGGCTGTGCTGGGTCTTCGTTGCGGAGCATGGGTTTCTCTTGTTGTGGCGAACAAGCTCTGGAGCACCCAGGCGCAGGACTTGTGGCACATGGACTCTCTAGCTGCAGCACAGGGCTTAGTTCCCCCACAGCGTGTGAGATCTTAGTTCCCTGACCGGGGATCAAACCTGCTTGCCCTGCATTGGTAGGTGGATTCTTAACCACTGGACTACCAGGGAAGTCCCAGGTTCCGCTTCTGTAATGGCTCCCTCTTGGGGCTGTTGGTGGACGACCTGTTTCTCCATCACCATCACTCCTCCTCTTATTTATTTTTCCTCTTTGTTAGAAGCAAGTCACTAAGTCCTTCACACTCAGGGGGAGGGGAATTGGGCTCCATCTTTTGAAGGAGGGACATCAGAGAATTTGGGGACAGATTTTAAAACCATCACAACAGATGGAGGGATTGGCATGCCCACTCTTCTTCCTGGATGCTGGAGTCTTCGAATAATCTTAGACCAGGGACACCGCCCCCCCCCATCCCCCATCATGACTCTATGTTAAATTCATCTAGGACACTTAGAACATATCAGTGTCCAGGGCTCAACCCCCAGACCATCTTCTTAGTCTGATGAAACCTGTGGACGTTTGTGTTTTGTTTTGTAACCTTACGCTGGGAAGGATTGAGAACAGGAGGAAAATGGGGTGACAGAGGATGAAATGGTTGGATGGCACCATCGACTCAATGGACATGAGTTTGAGCAAACTCAGAGAGATGGTGAAAGACAGGGAAGCATGATGTGCCGTGGCCCACGGGGTCACAGAGAGTCGGACACGACTGAGCGACTGAACAAAAACAGCAAACTTTAATCATGAAACCCAGCACTTGTGTTCCCACTACATGGGTTTTTTCTTTATTGTGGTAAAATGTGCACAACACTAAATTTACCATTTAAACCATTTTTAAATTAAATTTTTATTTTATATTATAGTTGGTTTACAATGCTGTGTTAGTTTCCAATGTACAGCAAAGTGATTCAGTTAGACATATACATATACTAGTTCTCTTCCAGATTCTTTCCCCATGTATGTTATTTCCAAGGACTGAGTCGGGTCCCTTGTGCTATGCAGTAGGTCCTTGTTGATGATCTATTTTATATATAGTAGAGTGTGTATGTTAACTCCCGACTCCTAATTTTTCCCTCCCCTGACCTTTCCCCTTTGGTAGCCATAAATTTATTTTCAAAGTCTGTGAGTCTGTTTTTGTCTTGTAAATGAGTTGATTTGTATCACTTTTTTTAGGTTTCACATATAAGTGATATGATATGAAATTTGTCTTTCTCTGTCTGACTTAAGAGCTTCCCCTGTGGCTCAGTGGTATAAAGAATCTATCTGCCTGCAATGCAGGAGCTACAGGAGACACAGGTTCGATCCCTGGGTCGGGAAGATCCCCTGGAGAAGGGCATGGCAACCCACTCCAGTATTCTTGCCTGGATAATCCCATGGACAGAGGAGCCTGGTGGGTTACAGTCCATGGGGTTGTGGAATGAGAAGTCAAGTGGGCCTTAGGAAGCATCACTACGAACAAAGCTAGTGGAGGTCTTGGAATTCCAGTTGAGCTGGAATTTCAAATTCTAAAAGATGATGCTGTGAAAGTGCTGCACTCAATATGCCAGCAAATTTGGAAAACTCAACAGTGGCCACGGGACTGGAAAAGGTCAGTTTTCATTCCAATCCCAAAGAAAGGCAATGCCAAAGAATGCTTAAAAAACCACGCAATTGTACTCATCTCACATGTTAGCAAAGTAATGCTCAAAATTCTCCAAGCCAGGCTTCAACAGTACGTGAATTGTGAACTTCCAGATGTTGAAGCTGGATTTAGAAAAGGCAGAGGAACCAGAGATCAAATTGCCAAGATTCGTTGGATCATTGAAAAAGCAAGAGAGTTCCAGAAAAACATCTACTTCTGCTTTATTGACTACGCCAAAGCCTTTGACTGTGTGGATCACAATAAACTGTGGAAAATTCTGAAAGAGATGGGAATACCAGACTACCTGACCTGCCTCTTGCAAAATCTGTATGCAGGTCAGGAAGCAACAGTTAGAACTAGACATGGAACAACAGACTGGTTCCAAATCGGGAAAGGAGTACGTCAAGGCTGTATATTGTCACCCTGCTTATTTAAATTATATGCAGTGTACATCATGAGAAACGCTGGGCTGGATGAAGCACAAGCGGGAATCAAGATTGCCAGGAGAAATATCAATAACCTCAGATATGCAGATGACACCACCCTTATGGCAGAAAGTGAAGAACTAAAGAGCCTCTTGATGAAAGTCAAAGAGGAGAGTGAAAAAATTGGCTTAAAACTCAACATTCAGAAAATTAAGATCATGGCATCCGGTCCCATCACTTCATGGCAAATAGATGGGGAAACAGTGGAAACAGTGACAGACTTTATATTTGGGGGGCTCCAAAATCACTGCAGATGGTGATTGCAGCCATGAAATTAAAAGACGCTTGCTCCTTGGGAGAAAAGCTATGACAAACTTAGACAGCATATTAAAAAGCAGAGACATTACTTTGCTAACAAAGGCCCGTCTAGTCAAAGCTACGGTTTTCCCACTAGTCTTGTATGGATGTGAGAGTTAGACTATAAAGAAAGCTGAGCGCTGAAGAATTGATACTTTTGAACTGTGGTGTTGGAGAAGACTCTTGAGAGTCCCTTGGACAGCAAGGAGATCCAACTAGTCCCTCCTAAAGAAAATCAGTCCTAAAAAAAAAAAAGGAAAGAAAATCAGTCCTGACTATTCCTTGGAAGGACTGATGTTGAAGCTGAAACTCCAATACTTTGACCAGTGATGTGAAGAGCTGACTCATTTGAAAAGACCCTGATGCTGGGAAAGATTGAAGGTGGGAGGAGAAGGGGACGACAGAGGATGAGATGGTTGGATGGTATTACCGACTCAATGGGCATGAGTTTGAGTAAACTCCGGGAGTTGGTGATGGACAGGAAGGCCTGGCGTGCTGTAGTCCATGGGGTTGCAAAGAGTCAGACATGATTGAACTGAACTGAACTGACTTCACTTAGAATGATAATCTTCAGGTTGATCCACGTTGCTGCAAATGACATTACTTCATTCTTTTTTGTGGCTGAGTAATATTCCATTATGTATATTGCATATTAGGTATCTTACATATTATAGATATGATGTTGTTATTGTTCAGTTGCTAAGTCGTGTCCAACTTCTGTGAGCCCATGGACTGGAGCATGTCAGGCTTTCCTGTCCTTCCTTCGCTATCTCCCAGAGTTTGCTCAGTACATGTCTACTGAGTCAGTGATGCTATCTACTCATCTCAACCTTCATCACCCCTTCTTTTGCCTTCAACCTTTCCCAGTATCAGTCTTTTCCAGGACTCGGCTCATAGACATGCGCGCGTGCGTGCACACACACACACACGCACACTCACACGCAGTGGTGGAGGATAACCATCACCACTCCCTGTGACACACACCCCCCGCATCTTCTTTATCCAGTCCTCTGCTGATGGTCATTCAGGTTGCTTCCATGTCTTGACTATTGCAAACAGTGCTGCAGTGAACATTGCGGGATGCATTTTAACCAGTCCCTGATAATCTCTGTTTTCCTGTCTGTCTCTGTGAATTTAACCTTATATAAATGGAGTCATACAGTATCTGTCCCTTTGTGTCCGGCTATCAATTCAGGAAGCACAGTGTGTTCCAGCTGCATGCAGGTAGCAGGTGTCAGATTTCACTTCTCTCATGGAAGAGTAATATCCACTGTATATGCCACATTTTGTTTATCCCTTCCTCTGTCGACTTACATATGGGTCATTTCCATATTGGTATTGATATTTTTTAAAAGCTCCAAAGTGATTCTGAAGTGAAAGCAGGCATGAAAACTGAGGCCTTCATTCTCAATCCTGGCTGTCCATTAGAATTACCTGGGAGCTGTAAAACACAGACAGAAAAACGCCCACAAACCCGATGCTGGTGCCCGTGTAGACAGACCTGCCTCAGCGGCAGTGTCTCTGCAGGTGGACCCCAGGAGTCTGGATGAACACCCAGTTCCTTCCAGTAACAGAAGGCGTAGACGCATGGAATCATTTCCAAGTCTCTGCTGCCCCCTGGTGGCACAGCTGACAACATTCCTGGGAGCCCACAGTGCCAGCCCTGCCCGGGGGCCTGGGGACCCTGCAGAGCCCGACCTGTACCCCCGCCCCCACTGCACTTCCTTGCTGGCCTTGGGTGGCTCCATGTCTGGAAGGACAGAGGAGGTTGTTAGAGAGGAGAGGACATAGACAGGCAGAAGACTCCACTTTGTGTGACTTTGAACAAGCCATTTAAACTGTGCCTCGGTCTCCCAGGCTTTCATGTGAGGATAACCACCACCACTCCCTCGCCCGAGATCGCCGGTGGGTACGCGTGTCTGCTCCGGAAGGACCCAGGGCTGGTGTGTCCGCCTCGGGCGTTTGGGGCTGGGTCTTCCCTGTACCGGAGCTGTCTTGGGCGTGGTGGGGT